GCTGTTCTGCCTGCACCTGCTGTCCCTGCTGCGCCTGTTTTTGCTGCACTTCTTTCTGCTGCACCGGTTCCTGCTGCCCCTGTTTCTGCCGCAGCTTTACCTTCTCCTCTATACTGGCCACAACAGCTGACTTCGCCGACACGAGCCGCTTAATGGCGTGATCGCTGGTCGGATCAGGCGTGTGAACCTTGAGCGGCGCAGGCGTATGGACCTTCGAAACTTCAGGCTGTGGTGTCGCATCGGACCCGCCAAGAGCCCTTCTCATGCGCTGTGCCATGCTAAGGGGCTTGATGTCCTCGGTGGTCGGCTCTGTTGGCGAAGGCGAAGCAACCGCCTTGGGGCCGTCGTCCGAGCCATCATCCTGCGTCGACGCGTACGCTTGCTGCGCTCTCTGTGCTTTCTCCTTGTTCTTCTGATGGAGCTCAGCAGCAAGGACTCTCTTTAAGGCCACTCCCCGCACACTCGTGATCTCCTTGTGAATGCGCAGCTGCGTCGGTGTCGCCGATTGCTTCTGTTCTCTCTCCTTCTTCTGCCGGTGGAGCTCAGCAGCATGGATGTTCTTGGCTGAGTCCCCGGGTGCAACTACCAGGTGCTTATGGATGCGTGGTTGCGTCGATGTCGCCGGTTGCTGCGCTCCCTCTCGTTTTCTCATCTCAGCAGCAAGCCCTCGCTGGAAAGTGCGTTTAGGGGGCGGCGTGCGGTTTCTAGAGATCCGCAGTTGCGATGCATGGCTTTCACTCAATTCTGTCTGCGACTCTCCCTCCTGCGGCTTTCCGTGCGCGCCATTCGAGCTGTCACCGGCGGTCGAGCGGCTGTCGGAGGCGAAGCGGACCTGGCGGGCGCTCCATAGAGGTCGACATGGCCGCAGATGTCGAGGAAGGCGCGGCGGTGGCATCAATTGTCGCTTCGTCACATTGCACGCTGCTAGACACGCGCACCGCGACAAGGGAAAAGCTTCGAGCACCTGTCCGCATTAGGCGCTAGCGCTACCCGCTTAGTCAACCATGCAGCAATTTCTACCACAACTGGCTACCATCTTGGACAGTCATACACAAACAATATTTTCGATGAGTGTGGCCTTTACCCTCCGGCCGCTGGAGCGTAATCCGCCAAGTACACCCGGCAATGCGCTCGAAGGAGCGTTTCGAGTCCATCTTGCGCTGAAAGAGCTGAGGGAGCACAAACTTTCCAACGGCGACTTGATCAGACTAAAGACCGCGACTGGCTTCAAAGGCTACGGAATTGCCTGGACGGCAGCTGGAACAAATCCAGCAAAGAAGCCTATAGCAAAGGTCACAGACTTGCTGAGGGAGGAATATGGCCTCTCACTGAACGATCCCACATGGATCGAGAAAGCCAGTGACTCATGGAAGCCCCTCACGAGTGTCCAGATCAATGAGCAGGAGTTCGAAGAGGCAGCAGAGAAGTTCTCTGGCTCGGGCGAGCTAGCCTATTGGATGCGCTATGCGCTTGTGGACGTTGACTTCGTGCTGCCTGGATGCAGTCTGCAGGTTCAAGCAAAGGGCCCGAAAGGGCAGTCACATAAAGTGCGCCTTACAGTGCAGAGTATTGAGCCTCAGCCGGATGAGAACACAGCACTGTACTTCGACCCGATCACGACGACTATCATGACCTCAGGCTGGCCTCTTGCAGAACAGCAACCTCAACAAGCTGCAGCTCAGCCTGCAAAGCCTGTATCAGAAATCCTCAAGCTCAACGATGACGGCATTGGCGGGCTTGCAGAGCATGTCGCGACTATCAACAAGAGCCTTTCCTTCTTCTCCCTGCCAGCATCCGCTCTCCCCGATCAGCACCTCCTGGGTCCCACCACTTTCCTCTTCCACGGGCCAGAAGGAACCGGTAAAAGCATGCTGCTTGAGCGCCTCGCCGGAGCGCCCTGGAAAGACGTGCAGCGGCTGAGTCTCGAGACGCACCCCAAGAACCAAGCCGCCGGCATCGAAGACACGTTTGAAGCCGCAAAGGAGAACCAGCCCAGCCTCGTCCTCATGGACAACCTCGACAAGTTCCTCGAAAAAGCAGAGACACTAGTCGGTAAACTACGCTCCGAGCTCGCCAAGCTCGAAGGCAGCAAGGTCGTCGTCGCAGCAGCCGCCCGCAGCATCTACGACATCGACTCGAGTCTACGAACGACTTCCAGCTTCAAGACGGAGCTAGAGATCTTCCCGCCCAACCTCGCGCAGCGCGAGGATATGCTGCGTAAAATCCTTGGTCTGGAGCGCGCAGTCTCGAGCGTGGACTTCACTGCCATCGCAGAGCGCGCTCACGGCTTCGTAGGCCGCGATATCCACAAGCTTTGCGGACTCGCACGGAACCACCGTGTACAGGAAGTCTACGACAGCCTGGCTGACGATCAAAAAGACGCGTTCGGCTCCGTCCTCGCAGCAGGCGACTTCGTAACGCAAACCGACTTCGACACCGTAATCGACCGCGTGCAGCCCACAGTCCTGAAAGACAGCATCCTTGAAGTCCCCAAGATATCCTGGGACCAAATCGCCGGGCTCGACCACGTCCGCAGCCTCCTCGAAGCAATCACCATCCGCCCATTCAAGGTACGTCTGCTCACCAATCACCCATCAAGTTTCATGCTAACATATCTCAGCACCCCGACCTCGATGCCAAATTCGGCGGCCCCCAGTCCCGCAAAGGCGTGCTCATGTACGGGCCCCCAGGGTGCGCAAAAACGCTGATCGCACAAGCCGTCGCGTCAACCTCTGGTCTCAACTTCCTCGCCGTCAAAGGCTCCGAGCTGATCAAGATGTACGTCGGCGAGTCCGAGCGGTCAATCCGGGACGTTTTCCGCCGCGCGCGGGCGGCGCAGCCGTGTGTCGTGTTTTTCGACGAGATCGATAGCATTGGCAAGAGCAGGGATAAGATGGGAGACAGTGGGTTGAATGTTGTTGCTACGCTGTTGAATGAGATGGATGGTATTGAGGCGCTTAAGGATGTTTTTATCATTGCGGCGACGAATAGGCCTGATATCCTCGATTCTGCGCTTATTCGCACGGGCCGGTTTGATGCGCATATTCACATCGGACTTCCTACTCTCGAAGCGAGGAAGCAAATCCTCGAAATCCATACGCGCAAGCGGCCGCTGGCGGAGGATGTCGATTTGGATGAAGTTGCGCGGAGGACTGAGGGGAGTAGTGGTGCGGATCTTAAGGGCCTGTGTGCGGTCGCGGTTGAGATGGCGATTGCGGAGTATGAGAAGGAGGGTGGCGAGGCGCTGATTAGGATGTGCCATTGGGAAGAGGCGTTGAAGGAGCATCAGCCGCATACGTTGAAGGAGGAGGCGGAGCGATATAAGTACTGGAGGCCGGGCATGAGCTTGGGGGAGGCGTGAAGCGGTATATCGTGACTTATGAAAGCGATACGGGGGATCTTAATATATATCTATGATCTATGGTGCGCTATGGCTTGTCTTTTATGTCATCTAAGAAACCGGACACAATTCCAAGAATTTGAAATTTACTGGAGGCCTTCAGGAAGAATTTCAAGAGCCCTGACTAACAGATGTAGCTTCTGAGGACTACAATTGCTTTAATGCTTTCGTCCGGTTACTTTATTAACATATGAGCTTGGGCGTGAAGGTAGACAGTAAAATGTAGAGGACGACGCCACAAAAAAGGAGATCGTATTCAGCAAAGGTCTCATGGACTCTTAAATCTGCTAGGTTCGTGGTTCCATCACATCGGACTTTTATAATCCTAATTATATAATCCATCCTAAGGGCTCCAATCACGTCCTGAGCCTCACTCTCGCTCACTCAAAAGCCTCATCAATCTCCAGACTCTCCATCAGCCACTCAAGCTCGCAGCCCTCCACCTCGTCGTCCTCATCCCAAGGCGGAATCGACTCGCTGTAGAGTTCAGCAGCTGGTCAAGTGGCGCCGAAGTCATAGGGCCCGTTTTCTATGGGCAGGAGGCATGCCGCAGCAAATCGTTCTTCGGTTTCCACATCGCGTCTTCGATGTCGCCGGTGACGCCGGCGAAACAGATGGTGCGGAATATCCACACGCCAGGCAGTTCGTTGTTACTCTTCGCGTGTCAGCCGATGCGATGCTCTTGTGTGGAAGGGAACCTACGAAGACATTGTGGGGTTTGGGCAGACTGGGTATAAGGTGCAAATGTTGATACGTCGGAGATAGGTGTTGAGGACTGTGACGTTGGAAGGAGAAGGCGCGAGCAAGTACTCTTAAATACCTCACATTGCTCTCGGCCTTCTATTCTGCCTTTATCTCGACCTGATCTGCGCTACGCCTTCAAGTCCCGGTCAAGGCAACAACAAAGGCTCACTGTAACTACCTGCAAAACTTGGTTGAACTCCAGGGCTCCCTCTCAAATACTTCGATTGTCTTCAGGGTCCTAAGTAATGATGAACATCTCAAGCTTCTGAAGACTCGAAGGATCTGCTACCAGAATTCCCAGATTGTTTCTTGTGTTTGATGTTGGTCACTGTCCGCGCTACTTGGCAGTTCCCTTGCAAGTCCGACCTAGAATCTGGTTTTGGCTGTGACTACACACAGTCACTTCCAGGTATGATTTCGACTACCTTGGAGGATCTGTCACGATCATCAATTTGCAATTACAGCAGCATCTTTTGTAGCCACCGAAGGATGTGTTGGGTTTGCAAGGACCACCGGAACAGGAACTGACTGCTCCCAGCCTAATCTCCTAGAACAATTGGTATTTGCACATTCGGACAAAGGGCACTTGGAGTTTGCATATCTCTTACTGAGGTGCAACGAGGAAGCTTGTAGGTTCGGTGCACTTGAGGGTAATTAACCACGGGTGTTTCGCAGGGCTGACAGCACTCCGCAGATCAATCTGAAATGTGTGAATGGTGTGTTCCGCTGGCTCACTTTTGGTGTTCCTCGGGACCTCGGCGAACATCAGCCTCTGACTAATTCCGGCTACCATTTGGTCTGAACCTCACAACGTTATATATTATCCATGCCGCTACAAATCCACAAAACTAAGCAGGGGCTGATGGCGCAGTGGTAGCGCGTCCGCTTTGCATCTCTGCAAAATTGCGGAAGGTCTGGGGTTCGATCCCCCATTAGTCCATTATTTTTGCTATTTCAGTCGTTTGTATCATCCTGTCGTAGCACTTTGCACTGCATGAACGGGCTTCTTTGGAGATGAGGTGACGCTGTTGTGTTGACGTTGCGTAGAGACATTGGCGAAGTCCGATTGAGTACTTTTGTCGACTTGATCCCCCATTAGTACACTTTTTTGGTTGGTCCAATTGTCTACCATTTGTTTTTTTCCAAACTTCGCGTAGGTATTCTTTTTGCTGAAGCAACCTCTGATACCTCTATGCAAATTGAAGATGAGCTAACAAACCGGTGATACGCTGCAAAGAAATGAAGGGGCCAACAAAGGGTCTATCTGGGCTTAGACAGTGCGTAGACGGATGTCATCTGTCTTTCAAAGACTTTTGGCATTTGATTCTGCTTCGGGCCTTTTCTGGGACCAGAACGAGAGCGGAGTCCTTAGTATTTAGCAATACTGCCTGTGTTCATTAGATTTTCGTTAGTTGCAGCTGGCACCTCTTGCTGCTTGAGACCTAGTAACGTCAAAAAGAATCTCTGTGCATATGTCTGGATATTCGAGACGTAGGAACGGTTTATGACACAAGCAATACGTGAAGTTGGTATGAAGCAAAACCTTGATCGCCTCTCCACTCACAACTACTGCACCCACAAATCCCTAGAACACCCAACCTAGTCAATATCCAGTCTCAGAGCTATGGATCCTTCGTCTTCTCCAAGATCGCCCTGATCATCTCATTGCCCATCTTCGTCGCCTCGGGGAACCGGGGCTCAAAGTACTTTTGAATGCCCTCGAACTTCTCCCTGTACGCGTCGAAGTGCCCCAGGCTGACGCGCTGACTCCAGTCGCGCGCAGCGAACGTAAACTCGAGATCGTCGGCACGAAACGTGTTGTCGTTGATGGCGGTATCAATCGCTTCCTCGAGGAGCGCTGAGTTGCGGAACAGCGACTCGGTGATACCGAGCCACATACGGAAGAGCTGTTGGTGTGTCAGTCCTATCGCCTCCTACCTGCGTCCTAGATGATGCGCAAGACTCACCGGCGTCGAGCAGATCATATGATCGTACGGCACAATGCCCAGCTTCCACCAACAATCCACAATCGCCAGTAGACTGAGATGATTATTCTTCAGCTTGCGCTCCGGCATCTCGCCCAAGCTAAACCGGTCCAGCAGATCATCCCGCAACAGCAGCTCCTGTCCCTCCTTCTTCTCGTGTGCGCCGCCAAACACCGCTTCCCTCGCCGCATACACGCGCCGACTCAGCTCTGCCCTGTTGCCCGCGAGCATCAGCTTGAACAGCTCAGTGACGCTCTCGGCATACTGCTTAATCTGCTTCTGGGCATCGGGGTTGAGGATGGCCAGGCCGGCGTACACATGCCACTTGTTCGCGTAGATGCGGAGGGTGATGTTGATCTTGACGTTTTCGATGCCACCAATGTAGCGCGGCGTTTCCCAGGGAAATTGGTTGTTGGCAGACCATGCGGCGCCCATGCTGAGGAAGGCGGCGTGCGTTACGGCTTGTGTGTCGGCGGTTATGCGGTCGTGTTGCTCGCGCGTCAGATAGACATGTTTCGACTGCAGGCAGGAGAGGATGCGCTCGACGAAGGTGAAGTCGGCGTCTGAGGCGCGGTGCTTGATTAGGACGAGGGGCTGGCCTTTGGGATCCACGCCGGGTCCGTGGAGGGAGTGGCACGATACGATGCTGACGTCGGCGGGGAGGTGCTTCTCGAAGGCTTCGATCTCTGGAGCTTTGCAGGAGGTTTGGCCGCCGACGATGGCGCCGACCTTGGTGGCTGTAAACAGTCAATCATGGCTCGTTCGAGGATCCAGAGAGCATACACGGTCCAAACGCCTTCACGACGGCGTCGATGTTCTTCGCCTCGACGCTGTAGATGATGTAGTCGCTGCAACGGGAGACAAAATGGCCGGTTCGCATAATCTCAACTTTGGGCTGGAGCAATCTCAGCATGCTTCTATTGGTGATGTACATAGGCTATCCTACAGAATCCCTGAACTCTTCCACCAATGTGTCATACTTCTCCGGAACGTCGCAAGCGTTGACCCTTTACGGCGTGTCAGTCGTGGCTCGTCTGTGGGCACTGGTTAGCAAGGTTCAGAGCGCGAGTCTTTGAACAATGCGAAGAGGTTGTTGGGATCAGAGTTGTATAAGTTAAGGTAGCGAGAATTCACATCATTGGCAGCAACACGTCCAATTACTGCCAACCAAGACGGTGACAGTGTGGTCGTGCGCCACACTCGAGCCAAATGCACTCACAGTCATCATAAGAGGGAAGGGGAAAGGGAGCAGAAGCTGACTTACCAAGTGCAAAGCTGCAAGACCCGTGCCGCGCACTCACTTCCAGCCCGCTGCGCTCAGCCGGCGCGCATACATCCTCCCCATGTCGCCCATGCCGATGATACCAACGCTCTTGCCATCGTCCATAATGATTGCGGTGCACACTGCAGTGCGAATGTTGAGCGCGGTGTTCAGCCCATGGTGGAGGGTTGCAGGTGTTGCGGCGCGTGAAGAGATCACTTTTCTACCGCGCTAGCGACGTGACTAAGCAGCGCTCGCTTAGCCGTGGGGCCCACCTCAATAATTGCAAAAGTTCGACGACGACCGCCGCACTCCTCACGAACGTCAGCCAGTCACTAATACACAGCCAACATGCCTCCCAAGAAGAAGGTCGAGCGCGGTGCGCAGGAGAACATCCAGGTGCGACGAACCGCCCATTGCAGATGCTGCGCAGACGACGCGCCTGCAAACCGCATACCAGCTCATGTGCTAACTGCCTGCGCAGCTTGGTCCCCAGGTCCGTGAGGGCGAGCTCGTCTTCGGCGTTGCCCGCATCTTCGCCTCGTTCAACGACACCTTCGTCCACATCACCGATCTGTCTGGCCGCGAAACCATCTCGCGTGTCACCGGTGGCATGAAGGTTAAGGCCGACCGTGACGAGTCCTCCCCCTACGCCGCCATGTTGGCTGCCCAGGACGTCGGTGCGTAGTCCCGAGGAAGAAGAGTCATCACGAGGAATTGCAGGCTAACAAAGACGCAGCCGCCCGCTGCAAGGAGCTCGGTATCTCTGCTCTCCACGTCAAGATCCGTGCCACCGGTGGTAACGGCACCAAGACCCCCGGCCCCGGTGCCCAGTCTGCCCTCCGCGCCCTCGCCCGTGCCGGTATGCGCATTGGCCGCATCGAGGACGTCACCCCCACACCTTCCGACTCCACACGCAGGAAGGGTGGTCGCCGTGGTCGCCGTCTCTGAGCATGTGCGCAAAGCACGTGTTTGGCTTGGTGGAGCATGGCATGGCATTACTCAGCTACTGGTATATGCAATGGCAGCACGATTTACGGTTCATGTTTCATGACCTCAATCACAACAAAGTCGCGGGGAACGGCGAATCGCCTGGTCTCCTTGTTGAACTTGGCGAGTCCGTAGAGATATGGTCATAGTCAGGGTAAAGCAACAGAATCCTTTCTTGTTCGAAAAGATTCCTGACAATGAAGTGCTGTTGTGTTTGATGCTCTATTACGATTACCATTACTGTTGATATGGGTTGTGAGGCAAAGCGAAGTGCAGTGTGAGTCGTGCTATATGTCGACGACCTGCACCGGATTGCCCAGCTTCCCCGTATTGCCCTTCGTCAGCGCAGCATTCACAAGAACCGTACTCGCACTCTGACCTCCCCAAACCCGATCCCACAGCAGCTCCCTCACCCCTCTATACACCACCCTGACCACATTCCACCACAGCCCCGGATTCAGCAGCCCCCTCGTGTATCTCGACTCCGTCCCCATACCCTTAACATACGCCTCATGCGCACGATCCCAATGCAGCACCTCCATCCCCGCGCCCCAATGCACATGCCCAAAGACATGCAGTGCGGGCTTAACCCTCTTCAGTTCTCGCAGGAGATGCTCGCACCCCAGCCCCCGCGGCATCGACAGGTCCAAGTGGTACTTCGGCGGCGTGTGCGTGACCAGGATATCCACGTCCTCGGGCACCGTCTCGCTCCACGCGTCGCTGCCGCGCGGGTACTGGAATGCATGCACGCCCATGGGTCCGCAGGCGGGGATTTGAGGGGCGCCGTAGATGCGCAGCTTCCTCTTGCCATTATCGTTTTCACCAAGCAGCGGCGCTCGTTCATCCTCGGTGTCCTGAGGAATGGGTTCTGGCGTAAGCGTAAGCGTGAGAAGCTTATGATGCAAGTAATGCACACGCCCCCACTCCAGAGTTCCCTCACGCTGTGCGGCGGAAAGTGAAGAGCGCGTCCGCGGATCAAGATACGTATCGTGGTTCCCTGCAATAACCACGATCTCCCTATGCGGCAGCGAGCACAGCCAGTCGATCTGCGCCTGTATCTCGGCCACGCTGCCGGCATTCGTCAAGTCCCCGGCATGAATAAGTATGTCGCCCGCGGGCACATCGTGCGGAATGTGCGTGTGTGTGTCCGAGAAGCATACGACGCGGATCGAAGGCGAAGAGGGGCGGGGCCGTGAGCGGAGCGATGTGAGGATGTGGTATAGGCGGTGGAGAAGCAGCTTCACAGGGGCCTGGAGCAGCAGAACGGCGAGGGTGTGCGGTTCAAAGTCATCGTTGGGGCTGCGCCATGGGTTGAGGATCTCGAGGACCATTACCGGGCGTGGTGGAGGGTGGTGGGAGCGTGGGTGAGGGGTGGTGATGGCATCGATGAGAGCTTCGGACAGGGTCCAGAGATGGCGCTAGAACTGGTCGATCATGAACCTTGCTCGACCTCTTCTTCAACAACATTACTTCCCTCCGATTGCCTTCATCAAGATCATGTGCAATTGATAGTCGAATGTGATTTTCTCAACGTCTTTCTCGAGCTGCTGTCCTGTTGCAGATGGCAAGAGCGGTTGTGCATGGCGGTGCACGCTGTGGCTGCCGCGGCTGTTTCGCGACGGATTCACTCGAACACAAACCACAGCAACGACCATGCAGTTGGGTCTGACCGATCTGTGATGGCAAGCTACAGCACTCGCTTGA